AAAGGAACAATATTGAGCAGCAGAGACCTCACACTCTCACAGCACAATTCAGACAGTGTCTGTGTGGACACTTCTAGCCTTGCTCACCCTTGGGCATCTCTGAAAAGTGACAAAGGGAATGAGTCAAGAAACAGCAACTTAAGATTCACCCTGCGTGGGACAGCCAACCTTTTAATAGCATTCTCAAAACAATAAAAATCATCCTTAAAAACTTAAAAATAGAAAAGAGCAGACAATCCTACTGTTTCGACTGCCATGTGTCTGATTACCAAAGACTGCCTTTTTAGAACTGCATTATTTTAATGTTCCCACACAGTGTTTTTGTAGGGATTTGTAAAAAAAAAAAAAAAAAMAAAAAAACAAACCAACAAACCCTGTTTGGAATAAAACAGCAGTGCTGAACCTGATTCTCCTCTTAGCTCAGGAGTGGTTCTAGACRTGGTCCTGACACCTCAGCAGAGACACTTTAATGTAAAGCAGAAATAAAGTCCAAGCTGGGCCCAGTTCTGTTTTAGAAGTATGAATTTATTTATTCAAAGGGAAGTAGAAAATTCTGGTAGATCAGGCCAGCTCTGAAGCACTCAGAATCATGAAAATCTCAGAGTGGTTGTAAAAAATGTTTCTTTTGCCATTCAAGCAGCTGCACTTGTTTTTACCGGTCGGSTCTTTAGTGAAGAGCTACTTTGGAAAATGCAATCCCTTGGAGTTGTTTGCTCAGTTCCCTTTGTTTTAATTGACAAGCTTAGGCAGTTGAAAGGAATGGGTAGGAAGGAATTGATCTTAGCACACTTATGGGCATCTCCTCCTGTAATTCATGTCATTAAAACCTCTCTGACATAGGCATTTATTTATTTATTTATTTATTTATTTATGGTTTTAGGCTTGTTTCTGCTCAAGCACAAATCTGGTGAGGCAAGTTCTTTTTTTTTTTTTTTTTTTTTTTTTTTTTTTTTTTTTTTTTTTTTTTTTTTTTTTTTTTCTTCTTTTCCTGAGGCAGGTTGTTTGCAAACTTTAGAGCCCAAAAAGGTGCAGCTGCTCTAAAAATAACATGGGATGCAAGAACTGGTTTGGGAAGGTCTGAGTCCAGAGGCATCTCCTGAAATGCTGCCATCAGAGAAGTTTCCCTTGTAAACAGAGCTGGCCTAATTTCTAGAGGTGCTGAACATCGACATGCAGTGCTTGCTGGGAGGTCCTGAGCACACAAAACCTGAAAATGGGTCAGATGAGAGTGGCTGGGATTTTATCAGGAACACATCTGGACAAACCCACGATTATCGGGTTGAAACAAAAGTGAGAAAATTTGCTCCTCAGCTACTGACCCCTCAGAGCAGAGCTGGGCACTGGGGCTCCAGGACACTTGCCAGCCCCTGGGCTTCTTTCTGCCCCAGCCAAGGTCTGCATGTCATCAATCACCCCTTTGTATGGCTGGTCTTTGCAGGGTGATGTCCCCAACGCCCCGTGCTTTGCATCCAGAGGAGATCAATGGCCTTGGCTGTCCAGGTGTGGAGATTCCCTAAAAATTTTTTTATTCCCAGGAGACAGAGAGAAAAAAAAACCCAGCAGCAGATCCTTAAGTAGGGCTGGGACTGGGTCACAGGCAAGACCTCCACCAATCCCCCTGTCACCCGTGTGAGGTGTGATCAGGGGAGCTGAGCCTTGCGTTGAGTGGAGACACAATGTTCTCTGTTTTTGATGTGCTGGATCTTTAATGTTGCATCCACCGCTGAATTAAGCAGTGTTTGCTTTTCAAACCTTCCACATTTGTATTTTTAGCTCCGTTTTGGCATCACTTTTTAGGTTGGAATATATAACACACTGGGTTGTTTAGTGTGCCTGGACTGAGTTCAGCYGATGTGTAACTCCACGGGCTGGAGCAGAATCTCCGTTCAAGGTGAATTACGCTCTATGGGGCCGAGGAAATACAGCTCCTGTAGAGAGGCAGCCCAGCTCCTTCAGTAAACGCTACACTATTTCCATCCATGGTTATTCCTTTGTGGTTTGKGTTATGTATTTACATTTTACGGAATAAATACTACAGCTTTCCCCATGACTAACACTTCTTAGTAACCAAGGAGCTACTCAAATACGCTCTTGCCTCCTACGAGAGCCCAAACCACACTGCTCTGCCCTGGCTCTCTGGCCCCAGCTGGCCACCTCCTTGCACAGGGGCACGGTTAAACTGTGTTACATAAGGAATTTTGGGGATCTCGGCTCAACAGGGTGGCTTAGGAGAGCAGGATGCCGTGAGACTGAATTCCTCAGGGACAAACATCTGCAGCATGGCCGCTCTGTGATCCTAACAAAACCCGAGCGAGGTCTTCAGACAAAGAGAGGAACATATTCCATGAAGAGAGAGCCAGTTGCTTTTCCCAGCCCAGAGGTCTGTTTTAGGAACAGTGTTATACAGGCCCTCATGTAAACTCTGTTTATAGACTGGAGTATTTTCAATGAAAATGTTATTTAACTTTCAAAAGTTGCACAGCAGCTACTCCCAAAATTGTTTTCCCTTGTTAAGAATAACACACAGTGTGATACATTTGAAATGGCGATAGCAATATTTCACAAATTTTGATGGATTCATAGTCCAAATACCTTGCTAACAGATGTTTCTTTTAAACTCRGAGTGGTATAGGAATAACTCAGAGATATTACAGTGTCAGCGCTGCCTTTTATCTGTGCGTGTCCTTTCGGTGACATCCCTGGGCTTTTCTAATGCATGGGTCAGGTCTGAGCTTAAAAAAAAAAAGTGAAATATGAAAAGAAGGCGTCTGTGATGGTGTGTGAGCTCTGGGGCAGCACTGGGAGGACGCCCAGGCGCTGGTGTGGGTTTGCTGTGCTCAGGCWCAGTGGCCCCGTGGTTTGTGGCCGCAGTCATCATTTCTGAGCTGGTTTTTGGTTGTGGTTAATTGATGAGCTTAGGAGTTCCCATGGCCACTCCATGACCACATCTTTTGGTCTCATAAATTAACTKAGTGTTCTCACTGTGGGTGACAGTTTGCCCAACACAAAGGGATGCCCCAGCAGGGCCAAGGGACAGGATTTTAATGCCCTGGTGGATTTGGCTTTATTTATCATGGGATCGCTCAGTCCACTCTGTGTCCCCAAAGTTTGTGGCATCCATCGCTCTTCATTAGAGRGGTCTTTCCCCAAAGCTGCCTTCTCCACACCTTGTTCACACATCACCCCCAGTGTGTCAGAGAATCACAGAACATCTCGAGCTGGAAAGGATGCACAAGCATCACCAAATCCAAGTCCTGCTTCTGCACAGGACAGCCCCAAGAATCCCACCCTGTGCCTGAGAGTTGTGTCCAGTTAATGTGCGCTGTGGACAGGCAAACCATCCTGTCCCAAATCCCCACTGGGGAACAGCCTCAAGCCTTGGGAAGTCTGGTTCTTATTCTGAGCCCAAAGCTATGCTGGGCTTGAACTGAGGGTCCGGGAGCATCCTTCCTCCTGGAGAGCCCTGTCCGTACCTCTCTGGAGCCGCCAGCTGCGGCCACGCACAGCCCGGGCGGGCCTGGGAAGGCATCTGCTGCACACCTTGGTGGGGGTCGGGGAACCTGGCCTGGGGAGAAGGGGGAGAGGGCTATTCAGGCAGCCAGGGAGAAGTGTGTGAAAATCTGCAGGGCGAGTGGGAACCCAGGGCAGGCAGCGGGGATTAGTCCTGGTGCTGGTAGCGGGCTCTCAACCCCCGGGCGGAGACCCGAGGGGCTGGCGGGTGGTGGGAGCACGGGAGAAACTCGCGCTCTGCCGCCGTCCCTTTCCCCGCACAGCTGCTTCTCGTTCCCAGCTCTCCCTCCCTTCTCCTCGGGGGAGACAGCCGCTTCCCGAGTTTCCCTCCCCGAGTCTCCCTTCCCAGCCCAGTCCCTCGGGGAGCCCCGCGGTGCCCCGACCTCCCCGGGGACCCGCTCCGGCCGTGCGGGGACAGTGCGGGGACAGAGCGGGGACAGGGCGGGGCGGGAGGGTCCCCGGGGATGCACCTGAGCGGCGCGGGGGATCCCCGGGGCTCCGCGCCCACCCCATCCCGC